GGCATGGAAGAACTCTGTGTCTTGTTGACAGAACTACATTTTCACAGTCTTATCAAGGCATTCCTTTTCAGCATACCCTTCCAGGATGACTGTTGCTAATACCAAAGCCTACCAGTGGACACATCATGATCCACAGTCTTATACCCAGTTTTGTCATGATCCGGTTTGATATCTTCCTTCCACCACTTTTGCTTTGCCAAGTGGATGCTTTCCAGCATGTTCCAACAAAAATATTGTATGTATTAGTGTTCCCCCTTCTCAGCTACAGGTCCTTGATGCAACTTTCCTGACAAAACTGGAAAGCTGTATAATCATCAAGTTCCTTGGTGGGGACGTTGTGTGCTGTAACCCTATGTTGCAGTCTTGCAGGCGGATACCAGGATTCTGGCGAAACACACTATGCTGCAGTCTGATAGGTGGATACTAATGTTTTGGTGGAACGTGTGCCTCCAGCTTTAGGATGACTCCAGATATCAGACATTTGGATTACATAGGTACAGATGTTTGACCTGTTCCCATTCATGAATAATATGCATTGAAGCATCATGTTGTGTTTGCAGTCACAATATTAAATCAGGTCATCCACAAACAGCAGTTTCATTTGACTGATGATACGGGATATGACGCTGTGCATGTTGGTAGAAGTTTAATGACATTTCAGAGGAACATACTGCCTTCAGCTTCAATTTTTCATCCTGAAGATGGAGGAAGTATATGTGCCTGCAGTGTTGGTAAAAACAAATTACAGAGCATTACATTTCAGGAGACTTAGCCTCATTAATACTTCTGAAAAGTCAGGATGTGATAGAATGTATGTAGCACAAGTCTACCCTTATGAAGGTGGTGTTACGTTCCTCCAAAATGTTGGCAGACTCCTACCCACCTACACAGCATCACTCCCAACTTCGTCATGATCACTGCCATGAATATCTCACATCTCACATATAACACTGGTGTTTGTAGATGACTGTACCTCCACTTATGAACAAGAAATATTGGCACACTACAACACTACAGTAATTGTGCTGTACTGAATAAACTGAACTGTGATCAGTTCAGATGAATTACATTACATAATGAAATCAATTCTCAGAGCGTTGTTTGAACAAGTCTTCATCACAGTAGTGAGTCTGCCAGGAAATCTGTACAAATTAATAAGAAATGGCAAGTCTACCACTGCAACCATTTAAAGCTATCGGCCTGACGCTTCAGTGGCCCTGCCTGGACTCAAACTGCACGTGGTCACCTCAAGTTTACAGTGAAACTTTTAGTGCATTCAAATATATTATGAAATTAAAACATTTCTACATCATTTTTCCTAAAGCTGATATACATTTAAATACTACACCAAGTGAAACTATTTTATTGTACCTTTCTCAACAGGACACTAACCAATAAAGAAATAAAATCTTCAGTTTCTTTTGATAGGTGTATCATACCTTTTGTTTGAAAACCATTTACTGAAAAATTAATGACCTACGGTAAAGATAAATAGTAATGACCATCAGTAACCATAAGCAGACTGCTCTGAGAATGTTACAAACTAAAATCAACTCCACACATAATTCCAACCTTGCAAGTAACCACACTAACTGAACAACATATTCTGCATGCACCTAATGGAGTAGGTGTACATGCTTTAAATTATAATCCTTATTTCATGAAGAAATACAAAAATGTAACAACTTTTGTAATATCTCAGAAGACTGCTTTCTTCATAGTCACCGCCGTGAAAGCCTCAAATCTTACATAGTGTGACTTCAAGTTAATTTCTACTAACAAAGACTAAAACATATTGGAACTATCTTACATAATTAGGTGGCTGGAATATATGTGACTGAGGTCAACTTACAGTTATACATTACTGATATCAAGAAAAATGTAAGTTTGGGAACACCTGTATTCTGTCTGTGTACCTTCTTAACACTTTGTGGACCGCACACCTTTTAAAAGGTTTTTCGCTTTTAAAAATGGCGGACCATTCACGTGTTAACAGGTTTTTAAAACATGACAAGTTGCAACACACTATACATCTCTCTGGCTCCACCTAGCTAGCACGTAGCTGCTTGCAGCTGTGTTATAAGGCTCTGGAATGTCTGCTGACCAATCAGTTACTAGACCTCGCTGTAACTCTATGCCCCTGCAAAGGAAAATAAATGCCTTTATTTCTTCAAGCTTTACGTAGCAAGCTGTCAGTCAGTAGTTCAATATGGATCAAAGACCAAAGCGGTTGACACCCAAGCGATTTCTTGGAGAACAAGAAATATCTTACTTCTTCTCCGATGAGCTATCTGACGTCCCTTGTGAGTCTGCTAGTGATAGCGACTCACAATCTGATGGTGAGTGTGGCAGGGGCGAACAAAAAATTGTGACCACAGACAGTGAAAGTGACCGTAGCTCCAACGAATGTGCGGGTAGCAACATTGCGGGGACAGCGACATGGGGAAAAGTAGACAAGATGCCTGCTTTGGGACAGTTTACTGGAAATCCAGGGGTGAAGCAAATTCCATCGGACCCAACGCAAGTGTCTGAAGTAGCGAAACTGTTTTTTGGAGATAGTTTCTTTGACATGCTATGTCAGGAAACTAACAGATACTATCTCCAACACCGTGTACATTATGACAGAAGTTATAAGGCGTTGAAGTTGGTGTATGTCACTTCAGCAGAAATGAAATTTTTTTTTTGCAATTATCTTTCTAATGGGCCATACAAGGAGGGATAATCAGAAAGAGTATTGGTCAACAGATCCATTTTTAGAAATTCCAATTTTCAGCAAACTAATGAGCCATAAGAGATTTGAGCAAATTTGGTGGTGTTTGCATTTCAATGATAATGAACTGCAACCACAATCAACAAGCAGGCTTTTCAAAATTCAGCCCTTATTGAACTTTTTCGTTCAGAAATTTCAGACAGTTTATAAGCCAAACCAAAAACTGTCTTTGGACGAATCTGTGATTCCTTGGAGGGGAAGGCTTCATATGCGAACATATAATCCTGGGAAACTTACATAGTATGACCTACTTGTTTGTGTAGTTACTGAAAGCACTTCAGGCTATATTGGAAATTTAGAATTTATTCTGGTGATGGAAAGAAATTACAAGAAACTATTCTTTCCATTTTGGAACCCTATCTTGATCAAAATTACCATGTCTATCAAGACAATTATT